TCAGTTTTTTATAATAATTTTATTGTATTATTAAAAGTTCTCTAATAAAAATAAAAAATATAAATATATGTAATTTACATTCACGAATCTATTATTTTTCACAATATATCATTAATAAAATCACGAATATAAAACTTCTCTTGTCTCCTTCATCTTTTATTTTCAATTATTTTTCTCATCGTTTTATCTGTTATTTTAATTCTTTTAATTCATTTTTCTTTTTTAAATTCGTTTTTTCTTTCTTTCTCTCTCTCTCTTTTTCTCTTTTATCTTTTATTTTTTTATTCCACCTATTTTTTCGATCGCCATTTCTAATTCATTTTTTTTCTTTTTTTTCAGATTTTTTATTTCACGTCAATTTCTCAATCGTCATTTATTTCGTTTTTTATTTTTTTTATTTCTCGATCCCGTCTATTCTGTTCTCCTCTTTTCTTTTTTTTTATTTCTTGATCTCGTTTATTTCATTCTTTTTTTTATTTCTCGATCCCGTTTATTTCATTTTTTTCATTTTTTTATTTCTCGATACTGTTTATTTCGTTTTTTTATTTTTTTTTATTTCTTGATTCTGTTTATTTTATTTATTTTATTTTTTTATTTCTCAATACTGTTTATTTCATTTTTTTCTTTTCTTTTTTTATTTCTTATCTCGTTTATTTCATTTTTTTCCTTTTCCTTTTCTATTTCTCAATTCCGTTTATTTCATTTTCTCCTCCTCTCTTTTTATTTCTTGATTCCCATTTATTTCATTTTTTTTATTTCTCGATCCCGCCTATTTCATTTTCCTCTTTTTTTTATTTTTATCATTATGGCTTTGGCTGCTTCCGCTGTAGCTTCATTTGAATGGACAGTTGACGCTGCAAGAGAATTAATTCGATTAAGATACGATAATCATGACGATTTTGAGTTCATTTTAAATAATCACCATAAAAGGATATGAAGAACCATATCCAATCGATTGTTTATTACTAGAGGGTTCACTGCTTCTCCCTCTCAATGTCGAAGAAAATGGTACTCATTAAAATATGGGTACAATAATCTCAAGAGGTTGGATACTATAGAGAATCCTCACGACTAACCAATAATAAACCCAACTCTGCATGATCGAATATTTTATGCAGAGTTGGATGATGAATTTTGGCTTTGAACTGATAATTATTTATTGAATAATAGTAATAAGAAATATATTTTTTACTTTTTAGAACTTCAATTTTTTAATTTATTTATTATTTTTTATTATTTTTAGACGTAAATCGTCATCGGTATAGAAGACAGAATGTAGATTGCCGCTGGTACTAGTACTGACATAGATCTCATTCTTATCGGGATTGTAGATCCCATTTTCATGGTCATTTTCAGAATCATAGATCCTATTCTCACTATTATCATTCACAGGGTCGTAAATCCTGTTTCTAAAGATACAGAAGGAGATCATATTTTTCACGAAAGAGAAGTTTTTCGCTGAAAAAGAATTAATTTTATTTTTTTATTTTTAATAATTTTAATTTTATTTTAATTTTAATTTTTTATTTTATTTTTTATTTTTTAATTTTAATTTAATTTTTATTTTTAATTTTAATTTAATTTTTATTTTTATTTTTTAATTTTAATTTTAATTTTTAATTT